TCCTGCTGACATGTTCTTCTGTATCTAAACCTTCAGATGGGTTCAGGACGGTTCTAGGGGAATTCTGTATCCCCATGCGTAGGAGGGAGAGTCAGACCCTTTTACTGCAGGCAAGAAATGAAGCAGCTTTTTATGTCCATGTAAGAGCCCGGAAACCATGCATTTCCTCTCATTTCCACTGCAGCCGAGAAGGTTAAAATTTAACAACACCAACATCCAAAGTGGCCTTAAGACAAACGCATTTGGGTTTAGCATATTTACTTTGCAAATACTCACCTTCCACTTCTGATCACATTCCTAGATGCTTGACTAATGAAAGAAATACTTCATCTATGAAGTTGACCTTGAGCTCATTTTTTTCAAGAAATCGACACAGTTTTATTTCGTGACTTCGGCGATAGATGTTTTCTCCTTGTGGTATTACAAATTGGGATTTAAGCTTCTTTCAGAAGCATTCCCTTAGGAGGAAACCGTGAGGTTTAGAATGGAGTTGGCAGGGAAAGTCAGGGCAGATGTTTGCGAATGGACAGAAGAGAATTTTTTTTCTCTTAATTAAAAAAAAATTGATTAAATTAATTGGGGTGACCTTAGTTAATACAATTATAGAGGTTTCAAGTGTATCATTCTATAATACATCATCCGTGTATTGCATTGTGTGCTCACCACCCAAGGTCAAGTTTCCTTCCGTTGCATGCACTTGGCCCCCTTTTCCTCCGGGAAACACCATACTGTTGTCTGTGTCTATGAGTTTTTGTCTGCTTTGTTCGTTTGTTGCTTTCTGTTTTATATCCCACACGTGAGTGAAATCATATGGCTCTTAACTTTTTCTGGATGACGTCTTTCACTTAGCACGATCCGTCCATGTTGTCCCCAGTGGTGGTCTTTTATCTCTTCTGATGGCTGAGTAATATTCTATGATACGCATGGACCACCTCTTCTTTAGCCAATCACCTCTCGAAGGACACTCCTGTTATTTCCATGTCTTGGCCACTGTGAATGATGCTGGGGTACATACCCATCTTTATGAAAAGTGTTTTCAAATTTTTTTCAGTAGATACCCACAAGAGGGATTACTGGGTCATCATTAAGTTCTGTTCTTAATATTTTGAGGAACCTCCATTATGTTTTCCATAGTGGCTGCACCAGTTTACAATCCTACCAGAGGGGAGAAAAATTTACCTGGTGCTAAAAGTGGGGATTGGAAAGAGTATGGAATAATGCAGGCTCTTCTCAGTTTGGCCCCTACCTACCGGGTCCTAGTGCTCAGGTTTGGTGCCTTTTTCTCTCAGAGGCTCAGTCTCTGTGTCCTGTAAATTCACGGTGGTCTTCTGCTCACTACCACACGTGTCCTCAGTGATTCATTCAAGTGGCTTAAATTCACGAGCAGATAGATGCTTGCTTTGAGTTGCTTAAGCTTCCTAAATGCTCAAAAGGAATAAGTCTGTTTCTTTTTCGTGGACTTTAGAATGGAGACTTCCCATCAACTCAGCCTGGTCTTCCTCCAGTCAGTCAAAATGGCAGAGTCAAAATGTATCATGGGCATTTTACTGCGCTGTCCATTGCAGACTTCTGCTCACAGAATGGGCATGGGGGGCACGTCGGCACTGGGGGAGAGGGGTTAGGGTGGGCAGACAGAGAAATCAGACAGACAGGATGGAAAAGCCACAGCCCAGGCAGCTGCCAGCCTGATGGGACTTGCTGGGTGTCTGCAGAGTGAATAATGTATCAGAACTACTGGCTAAGGGAATGTTCTAGGACTTAAAAAAAAACATGCGATCACTTCCCCGTTTTGCTTATTTCCCTGGCCTTTCGAGCAGGAGAAAAACCAAAGTGTCGAGGAAGCTCAGAATCTTGAGTGGAGGAATCTCAGCACAGAGTGGCCCATGGCGGTGTCTTCAGTAGCCCGAGGAAGTGCCTGGGAGCCTGGCACCGGGTCTGGACCTGGCCTCCGGGCAGGCACACCCTTGTGCTCCATCTCTAGAGAGCTTTTCGCTTTTAAAAGGAGCAGCCTAAATATTCCAAGGAGGAATAAATCGCGCATGTAAATAAGAACACCATTCCCCATCACTCAAACTTAATCTTGCTTTTCTTCTCCTTGAAGAGCGGGTAGAGCCTGAGGACACTCTCATTCTCTCCCTCCCTCCCTCCCTCTCTCTCTCTCTCTCCATCCCTCCCTCCCCTTTCTGTAAATGCCTGAGATCAGCCATTTGCACTGGGCCCCTCCATTCCAAAATACTTACATAAATATTTTCTTCGCCTTCTGAAAATGTTTTCTTAATTTAAAACATGGATGTCATCGTGATCCGAGTGCCTTTAAGCGGCTGAGTAAGCGAAAGACGACAGAAATGATTAAACCTTTTCCTGAAAATTATAGCAACGCACTAAGTAAATGAGTTTTAGTGCATTGCTTTGCATTTGCTTTTTTTTGCCCTCTGTTCTTCTGGATAGACTCATGTATCAGTAAAAAATGGAAAAATAAAACCCTGGAAAAACAGTTATTCCTGTCCAAGGTGTTAGGCATTTTTGCATAGGTACCACAGCCTCCCACGCAGTGGCAGAATCACTGTGAGGTAAAATGAGTTTTGTGGAGTTGGCTGTGAGGGCCATTTTGCCTTTCACACTTAAGTCTTCAGAACGCCTTTAACGCATATACCCCAAATTGAAGGACCTAGACTCAAATCAAGAGCAAGAAATTAAAAATGAATGCTTTTACATCAACTTGTAAATAAGAGATAATAAAAGGGGAAAAAGTTTCTGAGGGCTGCCTTACGGATGATTTTAAACCTAAAACTTGCGTCTTAATTTTAACCTAGCAGTGTAGGTCTTTCCACTGAGAAAAAACATAGGTTACACAAGACATTATTTACTCAGTAGACACAACAGCTGTGGAAGACTGATTGCCATCTGCGACATGTGTATAAAATTACCACATGTGTGTATACACATGTACGGAATGATCACAGGAAAAATTTGAAACAGAAATAACTTATTATATGAGGCTTTCTCATCCAAGACTCTGCTCTCAAATCTTGGTCGATTTTTTAACACT